AAAGAAAATCGAAAACAGTGTTGTCGAAAGTGAAAATCGAAAACAGTGTTGTCGAAAGTAAAAATCGATCGATTATGAACATGGTTAGAAGCATGTTAAAAGAGAAAAACTTGCTGAAAAATCAATGAGGGGAAGTCGTTTCCGCAACTGCCTATTTGTTGAATAGGTGTCTTACAAAGAAGCTTGAGAATGTAACTCCAAAAGAGGTATGGTCTGGATTTAAACTAAATCTGAGCAACTTAAGAGTTTTTGGTTCGATAACATATCGACATGTTTCGGGTCAACTTAGAAAGAAGTTGGATGACAAAGGTGAGGTGATGTTACTTGTTTGTTATCATCCTACTAAAGATTATGTGTTTTTTGATGTTGCAAACAAGAAGATCGTGATCAGTCGGGATGTCATGGTTGACAACTGAAGCGTGTCGAGCTGTCTGGAACTGGTGTTACAGGTGGTGTAACCGGTTATCAAAATCATGTAACTAGTTACGTGCACGATTTTATGGATTCTCAGGCTACTGGAACTGATTTGACAAACGCTGTAACCAGTTACCAAAATCATGTAACCCATTACAGACACGATTTTTTCAATTCTCATGATGCTAGAAGTACATAACAACAATAATCAGAGATAAAGATGATCATAAGTCTACAGCCAGATACATCTTTATGTTCGGAGAATCATCAGTCTCATGGTGTTATAAAAAGGAACCACTGGTTGCACTCTCGTCTTATGAGATCGAGTATATTGTCGCTTCGTTATGTACGTGCCAAGTCGTTTGGCTGAATCTATTGAAAGAGTTAGACATCAATGAGGGTGAGGCTGTCACACTCTTAGTTAACAATGTTTCAGTCATTAATCTTGCTAAGAATCCTATTGCACATGGGAGGAGCAAGCATATTGAGATCACTACTTGAGGGTGTTGCACCCTAAAATTTGCCCTCCTAATTTCTCTTATCTGACTTAGACTTTGCATTAATCTGCATATATTCCATTAGGACATTTTACATAACATTGCATTTAATAAAGCACTGTGGTTCAAAAGTTCAGTGGGCGTGCGATGTCAAGGTTTTCCTATTCTTTTGAGATGTACATGTCAAATAAAGCTTGATGTTCCTGATTCTCCTGATTCTTGTTCAATCTGTGAATGCGTGAAATTAGGGTTTCTGTGGCTTCAAGGATATCCTCCCATTCAAGGTTATTCAATGTATTCCTTCATCAATGATTCTAACTGAGAAGACTGCGAGTTATGGCTTTGATGTTAATTTGTTTCTTCATTCAGTGTACTTCTCATAAGATCGGGATTTTTAATTTATTATGCTTCAACCAGGGTTTGATCTTATGGTCATCTTGAGTCTATCACCTTCAACTCTGTAGACCTGTTTTGAATGATACAATTTTTGGTTCTCATCAAATACTTGTTACTCCAATTACAAATTAACTTGGAATTTTGAGAGAAATCATAATTGATTTAGATTCGTTGAAACTTCTAATCATGCTCGAAATTAATATTGATTCAAGGTCTTATTAAGTTCGTGATTTGTTAATGGTGGATTCAAGGTCTTATTAAGTTCGTGATTTATTAATGGTGGATTCAAGATAGGGTTGGAAGATTCATTCATATGGTTTCAAGGAAGATTCATTCACTGAAGTATTATTCAGGGAGAATCTAAAGTACGAATTCAAGATTCGTCAAATCATCAATCCCAAAAATGTCAAGATTCATTCGAAAAATCAATAGTTCAAGAAAGAAATCAGTACCACATTTCTAAATAAATCACTTAGTACATCACTTTGGGTATTTGACTTACACACTAGCTTCATTCAAGAGGGAGTCACATTCAAAACTTAAAATGTGAAAAATGAAGGGGAATGATAAAGGGACTTTATTTCTTAAACTTACAAGTCAAACATACAAAAATTAAGGAAGTGTGTCAGCTCATTCAATAAAACCAGTGGAACCGATTCAGCTTTTAAGTCAATTCACTCCACAATAGCTAACCCAAAAAACCAATTCACTAACCTTTGTCATTTTATTAGCCCTCCAATTCAGTTATCACTAACAAACCAAGCTAACAGAATTCATAACCGCCAATGACAGCTCATCAATTTCCTAACAAATTCTGACCACCTTCAAACTGCACCCTAACTACATAGGACAAACAAAACCCAACTAACTGAAACTAATTTCATAACCATCAATCTCTAACAGAAACCTAACCAACTTTGAGCTTATAACAGAAACAGAGATCGATAATTTATGGAAAAAAAAGAGAAAGATTCGCAAAAGGGACTAAAAAGAGAATTGACTATTTCAGAGAAACCAGTTATAACAAACTGACCAGAAATCCATTCTTGAATTTTCAGAAGAAAACTCACCAAGAAAACCAGCCATCTCTTTCTTCTTCAACCGGCCGCATCATTCTCCAAGAACCTTGATCGATCGCCAGAATCGCTTTCAATCTTCATCTTTGAAAATCTCCCATTGTCATCAATTCTCCGACGGAATCCTTAACCGGCATCTCAAGCTTCATCATCTGCATTCATTCACTCTGCGTTTTTCAACTACTTCGCAACATCACCATCACGGTTTCTGCTTCAAGAATAACCGCAACATCATGAATCACATATAATGTATCGTTATTGTTCAATGGCGATGATACTCGGAAAAGTAAAGTTCATAGAATTGGAAGAACAAGCGCAGAAGAAGATTTCAGCAAGAAAGTAAAGGAATCGCGAAGTATTACCTAAAGATCGCTGGGTTTCTATCGCTGTTCTCCGTCGTCGAAGTCGCATCGGACGATCTCCGATAGGTAAGCCTCGATATCTTTTTTTGGCGTCGATTTTGCATCGGAGATGGCTCGAACGCTTCTGAACCAGAACCGAAACTTAATAGCTTCAAACATTCATCATCTTTCTGCCTACGAACGTGAAGCCTGATGCGGTGTAGAGGATGAAGTCTACAATGGTTGGAGCGGAGAGGTATGGAGAGTTAAGCGGAGGGTATGATGCGGATGAGAATGGCCGCCGATGTGTTGGTGAAGAAGAGTCGCACCATGAGAGAAGAACGAAGAAGAGGAGTGATATCGGATGGAGACGAAATTGGGATAATATCAAAGGTGAAGGGTTTGGTTTGTGACGGAGATCGCCGTCGTGCCTGGTTTCCGTGAGGTAGAAGAATGACTCGTGGGAGACGAAGAGTCTCAGTCCTTTAAGCATGCCCTAACTATCTAAACGACATTGTTCCTCTCTTTCTATTATTCCATTTTATTATTTAAATTCAATAAATAATCATAAAGAATTTCATGAGCGATTTGATTTTAGATTTTTTTAAGAATTTCATTTTATTGAATTTTGTTAACAAAATATTGATGTAATAAAAAAAACACTAAAAAAACTTAGTAGAATTTTCAAGAGTTGTTTTTTTAGAAATTAATTAAGATATCTCCTATTATTTTTTTATTTTTTTAGCCTTTTGGAGTTTAAATTTTGCAAATAATCATGAATATTTTTTTGCTTGTGATTCGATATCATTTTCGAGTTGTAATTTGATATTTGAGTGATTCTTACATTTCCTTGTAATTTGCTAGCTCTTTTGGTGATTTGTGCAAGGTGGAAGGCGCTTTATCGCTCGATGTGATTTATTTGAATATAATCTCGTTGTATAGACTTGCCTTGTGCAGGAATTTTGGTTTGATGTGATTTCTCTGCTTGCGATTTATTTTTGCACCGCGACATTGGATCCTCATTGGATATTTTTCTGATTGTTCCTTTGTTGTTGATGCTAGCTTGCACGTAGTATTTCGGGTTTCTTTGTTCTACTTGCGTTGCTACGAACTATTATTCGTTTGGTATCATTATGCTTCCCTTTTACTACTTCCATGCTTTATCGCTTTCTAGAGACCATGAGAAGTAGGAAGCAGTAAATAAAGAGCATGCGCTCGAAGTATCTGTTTAAATACCTGTAGCAGGCACCGCTTTCAGTATGTTATTTGTGTTTGTTTAAAACCATACCTTTGATGTAGGTATTCTGCAGGTGTGTTTATATCTTGTGCTTGCATAGCGGTGTGATGGTTTTAGGTCCTTTCATGGAAAACATCATTAACTCCTCAAGGAAAAGGGGCAAGTGGAAAGGTTTCGCAATCAACCCCCACCAGTTTTTGTCTGTGTCGTTTCCTACGCTTCCACCGAGCTACGAACATGTCTCCAAGATCTTGTATCAAGTCCATCAAGTGGAAGAAGGGTTAAACCAATCCCCACGCTTTGTCAAGAGCTCGCATTGCCCGATGTTGAAGCCCCGTTGTTGTACCCCAAAACTTGCCCTCTCTTTTCTCAAGGCATTTCTCACAAGGATTCTCAAAAAAATTCAAGCTTACGCAAGTACAATTGGATTTTTCAGCATCAAGTTAAAGGGGAAACTGTTAAAAAAGGCAAAGCAGATAAAATATAATTGTTTTGACAAAATTGAAGGAAAAACAAGTTTCCTTCGATTCACATCCTTCAATTGGACTTCTAGCCTCTTTCGATGCAAGCTTGGCTTGCATCCTTCAATGGGGCATTGGCCTCTAACACGCTGGCTTTGACTCACAAAGCAGGAGCTTCCTGCATGCAATCTTTGATTGCATCATTGGCCTTACATGGTTCACAAATTAATGGTGGCCTGCATACCTGCTCCGATTGGACATTTGATGCATGCATGCCTGTGTTGATTGGACAAATAATTCCCTTCATGCTTGCTTTAATTCACAAAGTGATGGCTGGCTGCAGGTAGCCTTCGATCAAACAATAGTTTCCTTCTTGCATGCTTCAAAGCAAGAGGCTCCCACCAGGCCAGCAGGAAAATAAACGCTTTGTGGCCTCTTTCGATTCAAAGAGGAAAATCCTCATGTTTGGCTTCCTTCGATTCAGGAGGCAAAGGCCTTTTTTTTGGTCTCCTTCAATTGTACCCTTTACCTCCTGCATGCATTTTTCGCTTGGGGCGCGTGGCTTCCTTCAACACAAGATTTGGTTACATTCTTCATTTGGGCTTGTGGCCTCCTTCGAATGCAGGTTCGTTTGGCCATATGGACCTTTGGCAGGAAAGTTTCATTTGAACAGTGGCTCTTTGTACAAGCTTTCGTTTGAGCAAAGACCTCTTGCATGTTTGCTTGAAGTTACAAAGTAATGGTCTCCTGCAACTCTCCTTCGACTCAGAAGCCATTGGTTTTGCATGTTTGCCAAATTCACAAGGCATAATTTCCCCTTCATGCTAGCGCTCCCAAAGCAGGGACCTCCTGCATACACCCTTTCGTTTGGCCATGTGACCTTTGGCAGGAAAGCCTTCGGTTGGACAAGAGCCACCTTCACACAAAGCTTCAATTTTTGGAGTTTTGATTCCCTTCGAATCAGTATACTTCGAATCCAATCTGGACCTTTCGAGCAAGCTTGTTTGAAGAACATTGAGCAAACCTCATAGCCTTATCCTCCAAATCTCACTTGTCAGGCTATGTTACTTCTAAATCTTTACATAATCAGAGGCTTACGCAAGTTTGTGATACATTATGCAAAGATTGGAAGCTTTATCCACTGGATAATACCATTCTTGGATAAAATGGCAAAAAGCTACGTACTCTTTTTTTCATAAAGAGTATTTTAATCACAAAGTTAGCTTCCAATCTGATTTTTGTCTGAACACAAGCAATGACAAAAGCATAAGTCCAATCTCATGTACCCACCAGACAGCATCCCCCCCCCCCCACTTATACTTGAAATTGTTCTTTTTCGCTTTCATATTTTATTATTTTGCAAAGCTGACCACTTCAAAGACCTACAAACTTTTCTCTATAAATAGAGAAACAATTGGCAAGCTTAAGGGGGGGTTTTTTAGAGGACTTTTGGGTGGTGCGGAAAGAATCTTCAAAAAATCATCAAAATCTCAAAAAACTCTTAAAATCTTAAGATTCTCAAACACTAAACACAAACCCAGAATCTAAAGAAACACAACACTTGTTTCTTTTTTCCTCTTTCGAATCTGAAGCAATCCCCACACTTTATTTTTCTTTCGAATCCTGCAGAAAGAAAACTACACATGTTCTTCTCCTTCGAATTCAGAAATAACAAACACCACCCCCACACCTCCTGACCTTCGAATCCAGTCGAACAAACACCTCACCTGTTTATTTCCTTCGAATCCAGGAGCATCTAGTCCAATCACTCAAGGTCAAACACACGTTCCAGCTTCAAGCAAGGTAAGTCATTCTGACCTTAAACTCTTTGTTTGAAGCATGTACATAATATTTGTTTCCTTTTCGTTTCCACCATTTTAGCTTATTTTCATTGCTAACCCTTTTGGTTTTGCTTATTGGTTTATCAAATGCTTTTAAGAACTAACCTGGCCATAAGACAATGCTGGCATGACCTCGGTGTCTTACCCCAAATTTTCCCTATCCCTTTTATTTTTAGTCTAGCTTTGAACTTTGCATTCCATTTGCATCATTTTATCATTCAGTCATTTGCATATCCCACATCTCAGGGAATCAGCCGCTTTGGTTTGAAGTATTAGGGCTACACCCTCTTTTTGTCTAATTTTGTTTTGAGGTTTTCTTATCAGGTAAAAAGGAAGCGCTTCTGGTTCTCGATTGGTGAATCGTGGAACGAATTTTGTTATCATGTTACAAGGGTGGTTCTTGCTCAATTTTATCAGAGCCTGGATTAGAGTTTATTTCCCTATGTGTGCTGGCCAAGATGCTAGAGTTCGAGTTTTTGGTTTCTGTGAAGATGTTTTTGTCACTTGACTCGAGGATGGTTCAAAGCTCAGGGCATTAGGCCTTTCTCACAAGGATTCTCAGGGTTTAAGTCTGCACAAGTACAATTGGATCATATTGGATTTTCAAGCATCAAGTCTAAGAGGAAACTATTGAAAGAGCAAAGCAGATAAATTTGTTTTTTTGACAAAATTGAAGAAGAGCAAGTTTGCTTCGATTTAGAGGTTTCGATTGAGCATCTGGCTTCCTTTGAGCAAGCTGGATTTAGGGGCTTCGATTGAGCATATAGCTTCCTTTGATTAAGTTGGATTTAGAGGTTTCGATTGAGCATTTGGATTCCTTCGAGCAAGCTGGATTTAGGGGCTTCGATGGAGCATATGGCTTCCTTCGATCAAGCTGGATTCCGAGGCTTCGATTGAGCATCTGGCTTCCTTCGAGCAAGTTGGATTCAGGGGCTTCGATTGAGCATCTGGCTTCCTTAGAGCAAGCTCTGATCCATAAGCTTCGATTAAGAAATTATTTCCTTCATTTGTTTTTGCTCCAATTCACAAAGCATTGACCTTCTACTAACTTGCTTTGATTCAGAAAGCAGTAACCTCCTACATGAAAACTTCGACCAAGCTATGGCTTCCTGCATGCAAGCTTCGATTGGATAATGGCTCTTCATGCAAGCTTTGTTTAAGCAATGTCCTCTTGCATGCCTTCTTTGATTCACAAAAGTTGTAGCCTCCTGCATGCTTTGTTTCGATTCACCAAGCTTACTGCCTACAAGCCTGCTTCGACTTGGACAAAGGTTACTGCCTGCAAGCCTACTTCGACTGGACAAGTTACTGCCTGCAAGCCTACTTCGACCTGGACAAGTTACTGCCTGCAAGCCTACTTCGACTGGACAAGTTACTGCCTGCAAGCCTACTTCGACCTGAACAAGTTTACTGCCTGCAAGCCTTCGACTGGACAAGTTACTGCATGCAAGCCTTCAACCTGAACAAGTTTACTGCCTGCATGCTTGCTTCGTCTGGACAAGTTTCGATGGGACAAAGTCACCATCTCTTGCATCATTCGAATCCACTTGCACCAAGGGCCTCTTGCATCATTCGAATCCACTTGCACTAAGGGCATCTTGCATCATTCGAATCCACTTGCACCAAGGGCCTCTTGCATCATTCGAATCCACCTGCACCAACCTGCCACAACACTCCAAAAACCTGTTGTTGCTGCTCCAAAACCTGTTGTTGCTGCTCTAAAACACTGCTGAGCCTGCATTGTAACAGTCCAGAGATTACACAAAATTAGAATAAATACAAATTGTGTTTAATAAAGCAATATAACAGAGTTTTAGCTTTGGTTTGTTCTGATCCAAGTTTGAACTCATTTTCCCTCTCTTTTTTCATCCTCCTCCTCTATATAACAGTGGTATCAACGGAAAAAAAAGGAGGAGACAGCAAAGAAAAAACACATAAAAGAACAAAGAGGAAAACTCAGAAGAAACACTGTAAAAAATCTCTCTTCAAAAATTTCTCTAACACCATAAAGTTCTCAAACACATATCCAGAATCCAAACACACATCCAGAATCCAAACACATATCCAGAATCCAAACACTTGTCCCCTTAGAATCTAAAACATCCATACACTTTGTTACCCTCCGAATCCAGTAGGAAGAACCTCACACTTGTTCTTCTCTTTTGAATCCAGTATCAAAGACATAACCCCTGGTTCCTCCCTTCGAATCCAGAAGCATTCAAGGAAACCACTTAAAGGCCCAGCACACGTTCCAGCCTCCAGCAAGGTAAGTCATTCTTAACCTTGAACCCTTCATTTCTAGCATAACATGTAAATAAGCTTCCTTTTCGTTTCAAGTATATACGTAGTATTTGTTACCTTTTCGTTTCCACCCT